GCTGTTCCTGAACTACATGGCACACAGCCCTGATCTCTTGGTGYTGCTCAGATAATTACACTCATTAGCAGACCTAAAGGAGAAGTCAGGGTAATTTTGATGGAGTAATTAGTTTTTGCCACAGGAGTTACCGTGGCCTTATCTCTGTGAAACATGAAGGAGATCCTCAAGGGTCAGTGATGTGAACAGGAAACCCAAARACCGACCTGCTCCCCATGATAAATTCACTGTGGAAATTTCAATTTTTATATTATGGGAACTGATTTCCCAATATGAGCCTATCCTAAAGAAAATTAAGGATACAGTAATCCCCACTGCGTAGGCCAGAGATATTCCTGGAAAATCCAAAAGAGCAGAACCCACAAGAATCAAACTAAAATCAGACATAGTGCTGGTAAGACAAAACCAATAGCCTTTAAAATTAAAACATTGAAATGGCTCATTACCCATCATTAAAAAAATTTTAAGGTACATGTTATTGGAGAACTCAATTTTTTCCAGTCAAAAATGTAAATGGTAAAGATTATCAGTACAAGACTTGAGAGCAATTAATAAAACAGCATAACTCATATACATTCATGGCCATGTTAAAAACAATTAGAAGACACAAATTTGGAATGGTTTATTGTAATAGATTTAAAGGAATTTCAGATTCCTGGCCCACCCTTTGTATGGACTTCTAAAACTGCCTTGTAAACACTTTATTACATGGCCTGATGATGCTCAGGCTGCTTCCAAAAGACTTCAGAAGGACTGATGAGGGCTCCAGCTTTGGGCTTCCCAGATCCTGTGAAACCTTTTGAATTATTCACCTGTGCCAAGAGTGGCCCAGCTGTTTGTGAGCAGCTACGGAGCTGTTGATTCAGGAAAATCTAAAATTGACTCTGGGACAAAACATGAGGGTGTCTTGGAACAGAGAGGGGGGCACTGGCTGTCCCCAGCCAAATGCCCAAGCACCAAAAAGGTTCTTGTGGACTCTCAAAAGCACCTCTGTTGTTAATCCTGCTCTGTTTCTGTCAGGAATTGATCAAGTATGGGACACAAATRTTATTGGAAGCAACACCAAAACCAGCTGAAGTTGCAATAAAGCTCTGTASAACACTCCAGAGAAACAAAATAGGGCCAAAATATAAAAATGACCTGGCTAAAAAMGCTTCAGGAAAAGGCATCCATGGTTTAGTGGATTAGTCAGATATCAAACYAGAATATAGTACCAAAAATTATCAATTAATGAAGCATTACATTCTAAATTTCACCCCAGTGGATGGGCAGTCACCCCTACTGGACAAGGAATAGTTCCTGAGAAATTCAGTAGTGATAGAAGCTATAAAATCTGGTGACTTTCCTGCAGATTAATGGCAAATTCACTTTACAGAACCTTCATGCTGTAAATATCTTTTAGTCTTAGAGGTTACCTTGTCTGGGTGGCCTCAAGCATTTTACTGTGGCACCAACATGGCCAAAAAAAGCAGTGAAATTATTGCTAAATCCAAGAATTCCACAGTTTGGAGCTCCTCTAGGAATGCCATCAGACAGAGTGGCTCAATTTAGAGCAGGATAGTGGGACAGCAAGATTTTGGGAATTCACACACCCCATGCCAGCCACAAGCCAGGGGAAAGGGAGGAAGGATGAGTTATACTATTAAAGAAAAATTAATAAAATAATTTTATTAATCCATTMATTATTTAATCAATAAATTAATTATATTTGCTAACAAATAAATTACCAGAATAAAACTAAGTGAAAAAATTAATAACCTCATCACTAAAATTATGCTCTTATCTGTAAGAGGTATCTTAATAGCAACCAAAATCTTTGTTTGTCAAAAACACCTTTAAGAGTTTCACCGAGGGATGAACTGTGGAAAATCCCATGAAAATTTGAAGTAGCTGAAATATGAAATGTAAATAATTGCTGGGTATGTTCTCAAAAAAATGTTGGAAGGAATGAGGCTCTAACAGGACCACCTTAAATTATCTAATTACTACTCAAGGAAAAATGTGCTATTATAGGACAAGAATGTTKCCCTCACATCAGGGATGGGTTTGAAGTCCAGCAGACAAAAATCRATAGAAAAAGCAATAGAAGAGTGGCAGAAAGAAAAAAAAAATTCTGATGACATGGGCTCAATTCATGRCTATCAAATTGGAGTTTGCTTCAAAATGCATTTGTGGTAGTCAGTGTAATCATTGCAGTGCTTTTATTTGTTTGTATTCAATGTYAGAGTTGTTGAAACACTTTGTGCYGGAAAATGAAGCACTGGGATTTGTCTAAAATAGACACAATCTCAAGAAGAGAGGGGGGATTTGATAAATAACAAAAAGAATAAAAACTTTTGAAAATATTTTTGTCTCCCTTTGAATTGCTGAGAGAGAGCAGAGGCATTTTTCACRGGTTCATTTCAGGTGAGTGTGAGAGGGGGCTGCAGACTCGCACAYCCTTTGGGTGCCAGGATTCCACAGAAACCACGTTTGGATCTGCACAGAGCCAGGGAGCATCAGCCACTTTAAACAAAGTCTCCAGGACATGAAACAGSTGATTTTTTGGCATTGCCCTTCATAAAACATTTTGCAGTTGGAACAACAGGAGATGAAAAAAGCTTTGAGAAAATTAAAAGCGATGATTTTTGACTGAGATCACAGAGAAAAATCAAGTACAACATACAAGAAAAATTACTTTATTCAAAACCAGATTTRTTTTGATGCAAAATGGGGATGGGAGAGGGGCTCAGCATCCCAGGGGAAAGCAGAAAAATATCAGGGTGATTTAATTTCCTGATATGGAAATTTCAGTGGTCCAAGGAACTGCCCTGCCAGCGTTAATATAAAATGGTTTTAGTGTTCAGAATTGTCCCTGTTCTCCTGGAAACAAGAATTGAATTGATGGTTTTAGAGGAATRATGGCTTTGGCCAGAGGAAGGAGGTTGTCCCTCTGTTACTCCTTTCCTTTGGAGTTSTCTCAGTGAATTCCAGGCTGGACAYTGGGGCTGGGAGCAGCCTGGGACAGTGGGAGGTGTCCCTGCCMCGGGAGGGGTGGAATGAGATGATCTTTAAGACCCTTCCCARCCCAAACCATTCCATGATTTCACTGYTCTGGGTTCTCTGGAGGGATTGCACAGCTGGGGAAGCAGAAACAGCTGAGACACCGAACTGGGGACGCCCAAGGTGCTCCTGGTGTGAGCTGGGTCTCGTCCCCACTCCCTCCCAAAAACATCTCTGCCAATAATGGCAAATATCCCATGTGACAAAAAAGGAACTCCATTCCTACCAGTTCCAGACAAACTCAAATCTTCTCTTTGATGATCCCAGGGATCTGCTGGGAAAGGGTTCATGTGTTCCCATTGCAAAACTCATAAAATAATGTTTACAATTCACATGCATTTACGCACATTTGCATTGCCCAGCTGTGTTTGTGTGTTTATGTGTGAGTATGAGTTTTGCTGCTTCACTCATGGGCTGAAAGAGGAAGAAAATCTGGCTCTGGAAAATCAGAATGGTAAAGSTGGGAGGCTGCTCTCCCAGCTGTCTAAAACAGGGACCTTTAAAAGTTTTTTTTTAGAGCTGTTAGCAGTGCCCAAGCCTGGGAACAAAAAGCAAATAATGTGKCATGTCACATTATTCTGATTCTACCAAAATCTTGAAAAATTATTATTGTGTGTTACAGCATCTTATAATTGGATATTTGTGACAAGGTTTTAATGGGATTTAATGGAATGCTGCTCTCAACTGTTTTCTCAGTTCAGTGTTTGGTTTGTTCTGGAATTCCTGTGGCAGAGCCTCGGTCTCCTGAGAGCTGGTGACAGGAGAAAACCTCTTGTGCACCTCCTTTATCAACCTCAAAATATCATCCTCTCCCAAAAACACTATTCAGGATATTCATGTGCTTCCTCCCAGGCTACTGAAGGATGTGAGAAGAGAAGCAGAGAAGATTTTTGTATAATCTTTTGCATATACATATGTATATCYGCATATGTGTAACCTCACACAATTGTACATACCTAGTTAATTAAAGCAGTTTTAAAATTAATTACATGACTCCTGTGAGCCGTACAAACGAGGAAAAACCAGACCTGAGGAACACTCTATTTAAGAATAAAGTGAATTTGAATATAAGTGGCTGAAGAAATGTGAACTTTTGAAATATGTTCAAAATTCATTAGTGAATCATTGCAAAAATGCATTTCACTGTGGGAAAAATTCCAGTAAAAATTCTAAGACTCCGGTTCTACTTGWTTCATGTTTTTGAGAATTCTGGCTGCAGTTAATGGGACCATTCTTATGGGTAAAATGAGCTGGATTTGGTTCCAGGGACGCCTGGCTGGACTTTCAAATGAACTTAAAAGCCTGCAATGCAAAACCTTTGATTGCCTGGAAAGGGGAATTTGAGCAAAAGGAAGGCACTGACATGATTTTGGGAGGAGTCTGCACAGAACATTCTTGGTCAGAAGGCAGAGATCAAAYTTCCATGAAATCTGCAGCTCTGGGGATGGTTAACTTGGGGTTTTTTTTTTCTGTTTTTAACTGGGGACCCAGACACAATTCTTCGTTAAGAAGGGGGAAAGTGGAAGGAGATGCCTTTCCCCTGGTAAAAATTGCCGCATCCTGGTACTCTAAAATAGAATTTGGTGGATCTGTGGGTTACTRGAATGAGCAACTGAGGCATTAAACTCTTCTCAGCAYRTTAATTTATAKAAATGTGTAATATTTTTGKCATTCTAAGGATTTTRATGGTTTTTWGCCYACTCAAAATTTAGATTTATAAGCAKATGAGCAGCTCATTWATCTGTTACAAGGATAAATGAGTGACCCAACTGATAATATTGTTATTATTTGCATCTTTTTCACTTAAAAAGGGGAGGGGAATAGGMCAACTCCTCACCTCAGCGTGTCCCAGTGAGTCACTCAAATTCTGCACAAGCTGAACCATCCAAATAATGTGACCCACTGCTGCTTTTTTTTATTATTTTTTTAATTTTTTTTTCTTTTTCAGAGCAGCTGACCCAACTTCAAAAATGTGACACATGGCCTCTCCAGCAAAAGGACCGGGAGCAGGTTCTGGGCTGGTGCAAGAGCCCCACAGGACACAAAGGGGATGAAGATGAGAGGAACGTGGCTGGCTCTGCCCGTTGGACACCTGCTGGCTCTGGGGCACAGGCACAAATGGAGAAACATGGTATTTGAWACAAAAAACAACAAAAATCAATGTTCTTCTCCGCCCTCTGACATGGGCACATAACCTGCTCTCTCACTGTTTTGTGAGAGCCCTGGTGGGGCTCAAATGGGTTTGGAAGAGGCTGGGAATGGGGAGGGGGTTGGAGCTSGGTAACCTGGGGAGGATTTCTGAGCTCTGGGGGAAGATCCAGGTTAAACCCAAGCAGGAATCTACTAGAAGAACATTCTGTGGGGTGAGAGGAGGAGAAAAACTCAAGGGTGAGCGCCCTCAAACAGGCAGAGTTGACCTGGCTTTAAATCCCTGTGCAGGGAGCTGGGAGCACTGAGAGGAATCAGGGATTATTTTTTATGGATGTGCTGTTCCTTCTCGTTCCTTGCAGACAGATTTCAGCAAGTTGAGGCTGTTTGTGTGCCTGGTGGGGCTCAGCACTGCCAGCTTCTGGGTTTTCTACAGCTGGGCCGAGCTGTGTGTGCTCTGTGAGCGCAGCCAGGATTTCCTGCTCCCCACGGAGACTTTCAGGAGGATCCAAGGGAACTTCTCGCAACTCCCGGACGTTGACTGCCACCAGAACCCTCCTTTCCTCGTCCTGCTGGTGGCATCCTCGTTCTGGCAGGTGGATGCCAGGATGGCCATCCGGCACACGTGGGGCAGGGAGAGGATGGTGGCTGGGAAGCGCCTGGTGACRTTTTTCCTGCTGGGAAGCGCTGGGGATGCTGGCCAGCAGGCTGACATCGCCGCGGAGAGCCAGAGGCACCGCGACATCATCCAGAAGAACTTCACCGACACCTACTACAACCTGACCCTCAAGACCATGATGGGCATCGAGTGGATCCACAGGTTCTGCTCCCAGTCCAGCTTTGTGATGAAAACCGACACTGATGTGTTCGTCAATGTTTTTTACCTCACYGAGCTGCTGCTGAGGAAAAAAAGGACCACGGGGTTCTTCACAGGCTTCTTAAAACTGCACGAGTACCCCATAAGGAGAAGGGGGAGTAAGTGGTACGTGAGCAGGGAGGAGTATCCGGGAAAGACCTACCCACCCTTTTGTTCTGGGACTGGATATGTTTTATCCAGTGATGTAGCCAGCCGGATCTATAACATTTCCGAGAGCGTTTCGTTCATTAAACTGGAGGATGTGTTCATCGGACTGTGCCTTGCCAAATTGAAAATTGGGCTGGAGGAGCTGCACTCKGAGCAGACGTTTTTCCCGGAAAGGATCAGGTTCTCTGTCCCTCGCTTTAAGAAAATCGTGATGTGCCATGAGATAAAACCATCCGAGCAGCTGAGCTACTGGAACCGCTTGGAGGCAGAAAATAATGGAGGAGTGCTCTAGAACCTTCCAGCTAACAAACTGAAATGCTCCCGACTCCAGCAAACTCCCAAAACCCCTGCTCCAGCATGTATTATTTGTGGTTATTTTAATCACAGAATCAGAGAATTGTTAAGGTTGGAAAAGATCTCCAAAGTCATTGAGTCAAACCTTTGAGCAAACAGCACCTTGTAACCAAACCAGAGCACTGAATGCCACCTCCARTTGTTCCCTGAACACCTCTCTGTGCCCTTCCAAAGCTTAATCTCCCTTTCTGTGAAAAAATGCTCTATTTCTGCCCAAAACCGTGCAAGCCTYTTTCTCTCCCATTCACTCCCACTTCTATGCATCCCTTCCCTACACAATTTACAATTAATTTTAATTTTTTTTCCTAAAACCTCCGAGCCTGCAAACCTGCCCTTCAAACCAGAGCATTTCTGCAGCACCAAACAAAACCCTTTGGTCCAGAGAACAAAATTYGCACCATCTTCCTGGTCGCCCTTGATGAATTCCTGCACCCATCTGTGCAGGAGCTTAAGGAATGATATTTGTAGGTGTCAGGATGCTCCCTCCTGGCACGGGAAGCCACAGCCCTGCTCTGTGCAGGCTGAGCTGCAGCCTGGCACAGATCCCTCCTTCGGTCTACACCRATTTTTTTTTGGCACAGATGGTAGAATTTGCCCATGCAATGCTCTTGGGACAACCTTGGGCGCTGCAGGTCACCTGGTGGGTGTGTAAAAGCTGCTGCATCTGTTTCCTCATGCGTGCCTCCTGCTGGAAATAATCCGTGGTGGGACAGGAGGGTGTCCTTCTCTTCCTGTTAAAATAGACCCCGAGACATCTTTTACATTTGTGACTCACTTTGATTGCCTGAAAGCTCCTGTGAATGGTTTCCAAGGCYAAACTAGAGTCACCCACAGTGACTTAGACTTTTTTTTCCTGTAAGAAACTGGGTATGTGTGAAGGAGAAAACGGGAGGATTTTTCTCTTTTGAACAAGACCTAGCAGGAAAATGTGTTCAAGTAATCATTCAGGCTGGGAGCCCTATTTCTTATTTCACTGCCAGGAAAAGACTCATGAAATCTCTGGGATTATTACAGGTTTCAGAGATAAGGAGTGGGGTTTTTACTGTGGATGCTGTGAAAAATACTTCAGGGCTCTGAGGAGGGAGAAAGGAGTCTGCAAATTCTCCCTTATGCAATGGTCCTGTTTGATTTCCCTGCAGGCAAAGGCAAGGTTAKTGTTATCAGCATGGAATGTGTGTGTGAAATGTTTTTTTTCCATACACTGAATGTGGTAAAAGCATGGAAGAGAGACAGGAAAATAGTTTTTATGGTTTCGGTGTTATTTATTTTTATTGTTTCTTTTATTTTTATTGAAAAGGAGAATTCTTCTTTCTCTCTTTTCAAATATTTCTTGATGAGGATTTCCCATGTATCACTTTTTACTTGCCTATGTCTGAAGAGCAGGATAAATATTTTCAGCAGGAAAATCCTGAAAAGTGTTTAATAATGATAATAATATATTATTTATTTTCCTCTGGTGCAGAGTAACCTGAGCTCATGCACTTACTTTTGACCACTGATKATGAAAGAAATAATTTTTTTGTCAGAAGAATAATATTTTTCATTTTAAGTTTCTTTAATAAACTTCTAATATTTTATTTAAATMATTAAAATATTWAAATAGTTCAATTTTACTTAAAATTCAGCTATTCCCTGAATACTTTTGCTGCCTTCAGCAGTTGTGATGGGTCAGACTGATAAAGCCAATCAACATCTCTTTAATCAAGATTCTGTCCAYGTCATATGCAGAAATAYCTTTTGCCATTCGCTGCTCTTGTGCCCMAGGTGCAAACATAAATTCCYGTAATTTATGGAAAAATGGTGAGCAGAAAGGARTGCTCCTGGTCATTCCTTCCTGCCTGTCTCCAGTGGTTTAAATCTGTGAGCTTGGACAGCAGCAGCAGCCTGATGATCATTTTGGCCTCTTCTTGTTCTCAGAGATAATAATATAATAATGAATAATAATAATAATAAAGTAATCCTGCAGGCAATTGTAGGTCTGACTTCCACCTCTGTGCCTGGTGCCAGCAGTTTGTGGCTTTGCACCAGCATTAAAAAAMTGGTCCCTAGAGGACCAAGTTCTGCTTCAGCCTCTTGGCTGTGGGTTTTATTCCAGCTCAGGAGYGCTTCCAGTTACTTGAATCCATATGCTGACTGGGAAGATGGTGCTGCTCTCAGTTAATCACTTTTGCAGACTCATTTTTGGGGCTAAATCCTAGTGGAAGGTGTCCCTGCCCATGGTAGAGGAGTGGAAATGGAAGATCTTTARGGTCCCTTCCARCCCAACCCAAACCATTCTGTGATTCTGTGAAATTCATCCCTAATGTGACGCAGGGAATGAGGTCCTCAGGTGTATTTTAAAAAACCCTCCTGATGCTGTTTGCAGGGAGATGTGTTTGGAATTCCAAGTGACCTGTACAGGAGGCTTTCAGGATGTTTTGTCCCCRCTGAATGTTCAGTCTCCATGACAGTCTGCGAGTGTTTGATTTGCCTGCTGAGGAGCAAACGAGTTGAGGTGGAGACATCAGGGATTCAAGGAGCTTGCTCCTCTCTCCTCTTGGCAGAGTGCCTTCCCAGGTGAATGCTTTTAGCTGCTGCACAGAGTTTTCYACAACACAATGATTATCTTGGTGTGAATTTGAAACTGGCTTTGTAGTTCATAGAACCATGGAATTGTTTTGGTTGGAAAAGACCTCCRAGTTCATTGAGCACAACCATTAACCCCAAAATCGCGTCCCTAAGAAATACCTTTTGYCATTCRCTGCTCTTGTGCCCAAGGTGCAGACATAAATTCCTGTAATTTATGGAAAAATGATGAGCAGAAAGGAATTCTTCCTGGTCATTCCTTCCTCCCTGTCTCCAGGGTTGAGGTTTGTGAGCTGGGACASCATCATCTACAGATTCCTTGAACACTTCCAGGGACAGAGATTCCACCACTTCCTTGAGCAGCCTGTTTCTGCGCTTGACCACCCTTTCTGTGAAGAAATTTTTCCTGTATCCAATCTGAACCTCCCCTGGTACAAGCTGAAGCCATTTCCTCTTGTCCTGTTGCTTTTTACCTGGCAGAAAAGGCTGACCCTGATCTCAGTGCCCCCTCCTGTCAGGGAGCTGTGCAGAGCAATGAGGTTCCCCCTGAGCCTCCTTTTCTCCAGACTAAACCCTTCCCTACTCCCTAGGCTGCTTTGAATAAGAATATATTAATTGAATAATTAATTACTCAAAATACAAAGTTATCCTGCTGGAAAATGAGATTTAAGAAGAAGCAGATGATTGCATGTAAGGCAAATCCATTTGTTTAAACAAAACCACTGTGCTGGTGAGTTTATATGTATTAACTAAATTAAATTAGCTTTTGCAGCTGAGGCCTCAGATCATGAATTTTAAAACAATCAAAACAGCATTAGTGGCCTTTTGCAAAATTGTATGTCTTTTCCTAGGAAAGACCATCACAAAAAGATCAGAAATGTAATTAGAAGTATAAACACAATACTGCAGTGTACATATATTTATTTTTTAAATTTTGTATAGGCTGATGAAAGAATTCAGGCAATTTGGGGATAGTTTGTCTGCAGAAGTAGAGCACTACCATAACGTTTTTATGCTTTCTGGGTTAGAAGATCATTAAACCTTTTTTTTTAATGAATAGCTTTGAAAAGGTCATCTAAAAGTTACTCCGCCGCTTCTAAGTAGGGAGGAGTACAGAAATCAGCAGAGCTGATGCTGTCTTGGGGTTGGCTGCATTTCAGCACACTCTTATTTCTTCCAAGATCAGTTTTTGGATTCAGAAAAATTAATTAATTTTTTTTCCACACAACTTTAATTCATCAACTAACGCGTTCTCATTTTAAATGAGGATTTTCAAAAGTGTGCACGAAGGATTTGGTCTCACAGCTCCTCCGWCTCGGCCTCGCTGAGGAGGCACAGCCCTCCCAGGCCCTTCTGAAAACACAGGGCAGGTTTTTGTGACGGGAGTTTTGCGTGATGTGATGGCTGAAGGGGACACYGGGGCTCCCGGTGAGTGCTGGATGGGACAGGAACGCTGCTCCTCCTCCTCCTCCTGGGGTTGTGCAGTGTTGATGCAATGTCAGCGTGAAACCTGTGACAGTGTTGGCATTGTTTGTGTAGAACACGAGAGCGTTGAGCTGACGATTTGATGTTTGGTATTTTAATAAAAGTATTTTGCTACCATGGTTCTGTGTGTGCCCGCTCGTCATTCTGGCTCTGAATGTGTTGGACTTTTGGGGTGTACTCAGGTTAGGGGGGTGTTCCTTTCATGGTTAAAATCAGTAGGATCATGGAATCATTTAGGTTGGAAATGACATTTAAGGTCACCAAGTCCAACCTTTAACCCAGCACTGCCCTGTTCTCCTCTAACCCATGTCCCCAAGTGTCACATCTGCACAAATCCCTCCAGGGATGGGGACTCCAAAGCTCCCTGGGCAG